TTAATAAGGTAGAAAAAGCATTTTAAAGTTTTCCTGATTTCTACTTGGCATTATATAGAAATGAAATAGTTTTTTTCAGTCTCCAGCAGCAAAAACAGCAGCCTATTAAACCCAGCCAGCACCCATGCTGGTGAGCTCCAGCAAGGAGGACTCGTGCTAATGAGGCCCAGGTCAGGGATTTAATGCCCGTGGGATCCAATTAATTTCACACAGAAAGAGGCTCTGAGTCCCATCGAAGATGTGTGCACATCCCAGCTGCTTCTGCCAGTCCCCGTGCCCCTCCTTGACAACCGTGTCCCAGGCCTTCTCATCAGGACGGTGGTGGCCTCCCATCTGGTCAGCCTGCCTCTCTCCCCAAGCCGGACAGATGGAACCCTGCCCTGGGAGGTCTGTGTGCTCTGCCCAGCCTTACAGGCACTACAGCCTCAACTGTCCACCCCTTCTGATGAGCCAGTCTTCCCAGGAAACCTGACACAGATGTGGTGCTCCTCCCTACTCTTCTCTCATGGTGGTGTCCTCCCCATACCAGCGAGCCCCAGGAAAACCCCAGCCCCTGTGTCCTCACTCAGCTCCTTCCCCCAGACTTCCTGCTCCCCACTCCAAGGCCCAGTCAAGTCCTGTCCCCATGGTGACCCCACCTCGACCACTCTGGACCACATTCATTGTTCCCCAAACACTGACAATACTTGCAGGTCCTTTCACACACGGCATACAGAGGTTTGCCTTAGCCACTGTGCTCTCCACTGCATGTTTCCCTTCTCTAGAATTATCCTGTACCTCATACCTGTGATGGTGCTTTTCTCCATCCCTCATACTGGTCAAATGAGGCTCACAAAGTAGGTGCTTCATAGAAAGGTGTTGGTTAAAGGATTGAAGGAGTGCTGTGTTCACACAAACAGTTGGGAAAAATCTCAGAGCTCACGGCTACCCTCTCCTCATAGCTGGATTTTTTTTGTTTTTTGTTTTTTGTTTAATTCAAGGAACACTACATTACCATTCTATAAAATGGAAGCAACTACCAAGAAGCCTTAGTGTGTCCCTCACACTCAATCTGCAATACAGTTGGTTAGCAATAGAATTTTCAGAAAAAAGTATTTGGGGACTTTATTAATTTTATTCCTACATAATTAATTAAATTAAATTAATAAAATTTATTTCTATATAATTAATTAAATAATAAAGAATTAATCAAATAATATAATTAATTAAATAATTAAACTACCACTGTTTAATAAGAGAAGAGCAAGAATTTATTATTGGGGAATGACAGGAGATAAGATTTTTTTTTTTTTTAAGATTTTATTTATTTATTTGACAGAGAGAGAGAGATCACAAGTAAGCAGAGAGACAGGCAGAGAGAGAGGGGGAAGCAGGCTCCCTGCTGAGCAGAGAGCCCGATGCGGGCCTCGATCCCAGGACCGTGAGATCATGACCTGAGCCGAAGGCAGAGGCTTAACCCACTGAGCCACCCAGGTGCCCCAATAAGACTATTTATTTAAGGAGAATTCAAAAGGTAGGATATTGTGCAAGTGTTATACATTTATCATTTTAAGTGTTCTCCAAATCAGAGCTGTTTCTAGTATGGAACCAAATCTATTTGAGCCAATTAAATGATAGCAGTTTTCACAAAAATAATTACTGTGCAGAGGAGTTCCATAACAATATTGAGAATTTTAAACATTTTCCTTAAACTTGATAATTACTTCTGCTGCAGTTGGTCATACTGCTGGGTTGACTTAGCAACGCCTTCACCATAAGAACTTAAAAGATAAATGTTGCCATAAAGTTTACATTTATATAATCAAAATTAGTAAGTTATGGGGATATCTTTGTTTTTACATGTGTTTTTCAGGGCCACCAGCCATGTCTTCCAATAACCCGATATTTAAAAATGTTCGTAACTTAGGGCATCTGGGTGGCTCAGTCGGTTAAATGTCTGCCTTCAGCTCAGGATCTGATCCCAGGGTCCCGGGATCGAGCCCCACATCGGGATCCCTGCTCAGCAGAGAGTCTACTTCTTTCTCTCTCTCTCCACCTCCCCCTCTTTGTACTTGCTCTCTCTTTCTCTGTGAAATAAAAAAAAATAAAATCTTTTTTAAAAAAAATGTTTGTAACTCGACCAAATGTTTTTGGCAGATACCTCAGCAAAAAGCAAGGATCTTGTGTTTTCGAAAAAAATTATTTGGTCTAGTTGCTACTATAGTGATGCTGTTCTGTGGCCAGATTTTTGGCACACTAAAATGCAAATGTCTCAAGGGAAGAGACCATATTATTTTCATTTTTATACATGAAATGTGGGAGACCCAGCACAGTTCAGAGTGCACTTGACATTGTCGAAATGAGCGGAGCAAGATGAAAGTGTAAAATTACATTTTAACAGGACTTCCTGCATTAAAAATCATGTCTCCATTCACACTGTGGTGACTATTAGCAAAGATGTGCAGTTCTGTTTGGAGAACCGAAGGCATTGGAAACATGGAGGAATCCATGGGACAGGTGGCTGGCAGCAGATTTGAGCTCTTGGTTTCAGGTCTCACTAAATTACCGTTTAGGCCCAGCATTGTGAAAATCTAAAGGAAAAATGAAAAAGCCTGGGAGTTATAAATTAAAAAGACCTTTCTGGAAACTTTGAATGAGGAGACTGCTTATTTTTATAACAAAATCATAAAAACCTGAGCAGTTGTTTCCCACCACTGTCCCAGTACAGCTTCCACAACCACCAAGAGTGGCCACCCCGGTGGCCCTTGCTTACTGCCCCGGGCTCCCAGCAGGCAGAGCAGGGATGAAATTGGCTGGGCGTGACCGGCATGCTGGCGGAGGGCAAGGGCTGTATCTTGTTCATCATTGTCTCTCAGATGCCTGACCCAGTGCTGGTTATGACCAACTGAATGAGCAAATAACTACCGTTTGGGCAGTTAAGCTATGAAAGTGAATAATACAGTAAGGGCTCATCACAAGTGGGGACGACTAGTATTGTTCTTGAATTAGCGCTTAGTAATAATTCTTTAAAACACACCTCCCTTTGATAAGAGCCAAAGTATATAAAGACTTCTTGAAAGAAATTTAAAAATACGAATGTACCACTAACCACATAAGCAAAGAACTTGATTAAGCAATTGACAAAGAATTATAAATGGTAAATAAATGTGAATAAAATTATTCTCCCTCAAAAGTAATGTTTTATTTTTTGTTTTTTTCTTGTTTTAGTTTATTTTTTTAAATTAACATATAATGTATTATTTGCCCCAGGGGTACAGGTCTGTGAATCATCAGGCTTACACATTTCACATCACTCACCATAGCACATACCCTCCCCAATGTCCATCACCCAGCCACCCTACCCCAAACACCCCCACACCCACCAACCCTTGGTTTGGTTCATGAAATTAAGAGCCTCTTATGGTTTATCTCCCTCCCTGGTTCCATCTTGTTTCATTTTTTCCTTCCCTACCCACCCCACAACCCCCTCCCCTGCCTCTCAAATTCCTTATATCAGAGAGGTCATATGATAATTGTCTTTCTCTGATTGACTTATTTCACTCAGCATAATACTCTCTAGTTCCATCCACATCATTGCAAATGGCAAGATTTCATTTTCTTTTGATGGCTGCATAATATTCCATTGTATATATACATACACCACATCTTCTTTATCCATTCATCTGTTGATGGGCATCTAGGTTCTTTCCATAGTTTGGCTATTGCGGACATTGCTGCTATAAATAGTTTGGCTATTGTGGACATTGCTGCTATAAACATTCAGGTGCACATGCCCCTTCGGATCACTACATTTGTATCTTTAGGGTAAATACCCAGTAGTGTGATTGCTGGGTCATAGGGTAGCTCTATTTTCAACTTTTTGAGGAACCTCCATACTGTTTTCCAAAGTGGAAAATAGCTTGCATTCCCACCAACAGTATTGCAAGGTTCCCCTTTCTCTGCATCATTGCAAACATCTGTTGTTTCCTGACTTGTTAATTTTAGCCATTCTGACAGGCGAAGTGGTATCTCACTGTGGTTTTGATTTGTATTTCCCTGATGCTGAGTGATGTTGAGCACTTTTTCATGTGTCTGTTGGCCATTGGATGTCTTCTTTGAAAAGTAATGTTTTAAAACAACATTAAAACAAGATACTTTTTAAAAAAAGCAAATTAGTGAACTGCTCGTGATAAAGTGTTGTTAACGATTCAGTAAGATGGACCATTTCCTACACTTCAGCAAAAACTGGTGAAACCATTACATGCTCGCGTACAAACATATGCAACACACACATCCCAGTTCATGTCTTTCCACCCAAGAATTCCAGGTCTGGAAAGGAGGTGGGGATGGGTATTTGTGTGCCTGGAGAGATATCATTGCGGTGTCGTGTGTCAGGCCAATGTACTGGCAGTACCGTAATATACAGCTGTAGAGGAACGGTTCGACTAATTCATCCACGCACTGACTATTAAGCAGCCATTGTTGTTTTTGTAAGCCTAAGGAGCTGCTCCCAATGCAATGTGAAGGGGAAAAAGCAAGCTGCAAAACTGAACGCATAGCATGCTTCCGTATGTACAAGAGGAAAAAGTCTAGAAGATACTCCACCAAATAGTAAAATATAGCTGTATTTCTCTTGGGTCAGAGATCGCATATGTTGCTTTCTTCCCCCCCCCCTTTTTAAAATCTTCTATTATGTTTCAAGGTTTGGTTGTTTGATTTTGTTTTGTTTTTACAATGAACAGGGGAATACGGGTTTAAAAGAAAGCCTCCTTTGAAGAACACCATTTCGGAGCTAATACTTTAGTGTGATGACCCAGCTGGGTCAGGAGTTCATCCCATCAGCAGTATGAGGCTGGGAGCTCCACAGAGAACGACGTGACTGTCATTCCCAGTGACCCTTTCCATGCAGGGTGACACAAGGGCTCTGCCTGCTCCTCTGTACCCGGGGCGGGGCTGGACTGTGCTTGTGTCTAGGAATGGCGAGGTCTGGAAGTAGTCACGGTGCTCTGCCTTCCATACAGCAACCCTGACCTCCGCAGAACTGAGCCCGTCTTGGAGAGCCCCTTGCAGAGGACCAGCAGTGGCAGTTCCTCCAGCTCCAGCACCCCTAGCTCCCAGCCTAGCTCCCAGGGAGGCTCGCAGCCTGGATCGCAGGCAGGATCCAGTGAACGGACCAGAGTTCGAGGTAAGCTTTCCCCTGCCTTTCCCTGACAGCGCTGCCTCGGGCAGAGAGCGATGGACGTGGACTCAGCTCACTTCCAGATTTCTGTGCCTCCCCACTCCTGGTGTGGCCACCACTGTGCAACGCTACAGAGTCCTCTAACTGCCCTTGACCTTGGTCTCCTTAGATGAGAGAACCACCATCTCTGGTCCCATGTGTGACATCAGAGTTTGCACTAAATCTTTTCTCATTGCAGGTGATGTTGTTTTCCAGGAAGATCATAGATTATTGGTCTTATTTGAAAAGATCATCACTTATGAGTCACCTGAATTGCCATTTCCATTTGTTGCCTGTTTCCAGTTTCATGTACCTCCAAGTATCCTCTTTTCCCATCCATTATGCCAGTCATCCTTCTTTGGTATTCTGAATATAGTTCATAATACTAAGGATCTCTCAAAGTGAAATTCTGTAAAGACTAACATAGAATACATATGCACTTTAGAGAAGAAGTAAACCCTTTGACTTAAAAAGTATATTTGACTCTTTGGGTTATTCCTACTCAAGAGGAATAAAAAATGAGCCTCTCCGACCATTTATTCAAGTCTTTCATCACTGTGCAGTTCTCATTAATGAAGAAGCTTGTGGAAAACAGCAGAATGGCCAGCTAATTACACATGACAACACATTGTTTCTTGCTGCAAAATTGACTCTTTCTGAACAACCTCCTTCGGAAGATAATTTTGCTTCCAAGCAACAAAGACGAGAACTTTCTTAAGTGCAATCTGACAAATATTAACAAATTACTCTGCCTGAGAAAAACCACCAGTCCTTTATTTTTTTCTTAGCCTCTTCGTTGGGCACAACCAGAGTTGGTCCCCTAGTATCTTTTTAAGGCTTTAAATAAGTAAAATCACTGTCCATTTTGAAAAGGCTGAAACCTGGCATGTGATGCTCTTGTCTCTGGACTGGAGTTCGGCTGCTCCCGTATGTGTTCTCCACACGTCGCTGGCCCAGCCCATAGTCATGAGCACTTTTGTTGCTTTAATCCAAATATAAATTTGCTTAGTTTAGAAAACTGCCATTGGCTTATCTTTTTTCTGTTCATAAGCCACTTGCTATCCTTACAATAAACTAAAGAAAACTGAAGTTATAGGTATCATTTTAATTCTCCGATCTGGTTTGGGTTAAATCTTATCTTTCCTTTGGCCTCTAGGTCCTCGGGGTTAAGAACACTGTTATCTCCCTAGAGTGTTTCTGCCCAGGAAAGACCTTACAACAAAAGAATCTGTCCTATACCAGATAGATTTTCTCTACCTATAAATAATCAGAAAGATGCTCTTCACTCTGGAGCTTGGGGAGCCCCCCCACCGCTTGCTCTGTACCTCTGTCCTGGGGCTCTTCCCTTGGTCACCAACACTCTCCTTCCTGTCCCCACCTCATTCTTTCTTCCTTAAAGGACCCAGACAACTCCTGCCTCCCATTTAAAAACCATTCCATCAAATATAATACATTTCTGTGCCATCAAAATGACCTATTCTAATGGGTAAGTGGTAAAAGAAGAAATTTAGCATAGAATATTAACACAGAAGCTTGGTTTAGTGTAATAACTGAGAATAGGACTTGGACAAACCAGACAGAATCCCAGCTCTGCCCATAATTTCTGCAGGACCTTAGGCTACTATGCCATTTCTCAAAGTCTATTGAACTGTAAAATGGGAAAAGAGTGCACACGTTGGGTGGGAGCAAGAATCCCATGAGGCAGTTGACGTAGAAGGCATTTAGCATTGAGTGTGACGCACGTTTAGTTCTCAGTAAATGATCGTGGCAGTGGTGCTTGCTGGTTTTCCTTATGATTAAGAGTGACTTCCAGGTCACAAGCCTGAATGCATTTGCCCGAACATGAACAGTTTTCACAGATGTGTCTGAGGATTTGCCTAAGTGAATGACGTATCCCCTGAGTAATCCTGAAGGGTGACTCACCACAGAATGTGGGACTGGAGTCAACACTTTGTGATGGCCATTAATTTTCTTGGCCCCTGTTTTTCTGTCTAGCCAACAGTAAGTCAGAAGGATCTCCTGTGCTCCCCCACGAGCCTTCCAAGGTGAAGCCAGAAGAATCCAGAGACATTACCCGACCTAGTCGACCAGCTGTGAGTGCTTTTGAACTCTCTTAAGTTGCCAGAGAAGCTGTGGGATCAAGTGGTTTGGGATACACTCATGACTATGAAACAAAACTTCACTGAGATTAAGAAGAAGCGTGGATGCTAGAAGCATCCAGAAGGAAGTCATACCTGATCAGGAAAGAACTGAAGAGATTTTGGATTGTTTATCTGCCTTTAGGTCTTTTGCTGATCGTTAATGCTACTTTAGAGAATAAAAAAGGGGGAGAAATAACTCCTATCATTACATACTTTCTACTCAGCAGCTTTGACAAAAAAATGCGGAGCTGCAGTTACAGAGATGTGGGCATGTTCTGTGGCTTTCTGTTGTCTGCTCCACCCTCTCCCTACATTATTTTCTGTACAAATTAATGTAATTTTTGCTGTTCTTCATGCCTTCAGGACTGTATTTTTCTGGATCCACATGTGATAAGCATGGTTTGTCAAGGGGCCTGACAACTCGAAATCTAACTTCCTCACTGAGACATGACAGACCCCAAATAGCTTTGGCAAAAGAAATAAGAGCGTAAAGGCTGACATTTGAAAGTTGGAAATTAATTTGGGATGAGTGACTATCCACTTACTTTCTTTAAAATTTCAGAGAACCTCTTCCATGAAATAAATGTGAGGACTTTTTGGTTTACTCTGGTTTGTACATATTAAAGTTTGGGGGCAGAGAGAGAATAATCCCAAAGGGGATTTGCCCCCTTCAGGGTTGAGGTTCTCTCTGCTCTTTGGCATTTAGTGGTTGTGTACTAACAATTCCCATTGTGTGTCTAACCTGCTGCCTTTCTTCTGGCTTTTCCTTCACCTGTGGATTCTTCTGGATTGGGTTCCTCCTCTCTCAGAGCTATAAGAAAGCAATAGATGAGGTTAGTATTACCTTTTCTTGGTCATGCTGTCACAAGATATAAATATAAAGCTGATTTCCTGATGTTGACATTCAGAGAGGTGGCCTGGTGGGTCAGAGATTGAAAATTCGGTCCTCTGGAGTGTGGTCTGCTGGAAGCCAAGCCCCTTCGACCGCAGCCAGTCCGAGGCCCTCAGACACTCGTGGGAATTTCTAGGGACCTTCCTTCTAAGGCAAAATGCCTCTTTTCCAGTGTTCCAGTCTGGCTAAAGATAAGCATTAGCGCTGTGTTATTCATAGTTTTTCAAACCAGCGTCTTCCAGTAGCAAAGCCTAGCCCTTTACCTGTACTCCCCAGCTGTGCAGGGCGGGGGCGGGGGGTGGTTGACGGTTTGACTAACAAAGAAGAGAGACATCATGCTAAAGCACTCCGAATTTATAGTGTGTGATTTGTGAACAAGGAGTTACTGGGTATTGTTAGATTCGTTTTGTGGGACATTAACTACAGCATCGGCAGCAACATCAACTTTAGTTAATGAATCCTGGCGAGTTAAGTGACTTTATTTCCTTATCTGTGGAGACATTTTTCCATTAGAAAAATATATGGCTTTGTCAATCTTAGGTAGCTTGCTTAGAAGGATGACTGCCTTTCTGCTGTTTGTCAGACCTGCATGAACACAGCATAGTTGTTGATGCTGTTTTTAAGAGACAGGCCTTGCCAAGAGTCCTGACTGCATGGAATCTGAAGACTACTATTATGGCTTTATAGCTGTACTCTGCTGAGCACCATTTTTGTGAAATGATGTGGAAAAAGCACTGGCTTTAGAGTCAACAAATTCAAATTCTAGCCCTCCCCCCAATAAGTAACTGGCCAGGACCAGTCTCATATAATCTCTCTGGGCCAGTTTCTTCCTGTGTACAATGAGAAGAAAGACACCCACTCTGCCTCAATCACAAGCTTGATTAGGATCATTCATGATCACGTGTGTAAGAGCATTCTATGAAGTGTAAAGCCAAGAGGTCGTCCTCATGCTATGGTTTGGGCTGGAGACATGGAGCCATTTTGGTAGGTGAAAGAAACAGTTTTCTATGCATCTGGTCTTTATCAAAGAGCCTTACTTTTTCAAAGTTAGGACACCTTACCTAAATTCAGAGTGATTTGGAACGTTATTTCTCAGGTAAAGGATTGCTGCTCTTAAAAAAAATGAGACTCTCCATGTTGACAGTGTGTGGACAGCATTTATAGAAAGGGAATGTTCATTGTTCTCTGACACAGCCTGGCCCTTCCCCTCATAATATAGTCAGAAGAACACAGCTATCACAACTTGTATCAATTTTCTCCCAAATTGTTGAAGAAAGAGAATGATATTCTGGTGCCATGGCTGCTTGGAAAATGGTTGTGTGTATGTGTGTGTGTGTGTATGTGTTTAACTCTAGGGGAATCTCATATGCGCAGAAATTAGCTTGAAGATGGCTGTCATGGGGAAATGGATTTCATCTGGTAAACCCAGGATATTTTAGGCTTTTAAAAATGGCTTTATTAAAAAAAAATGGCTTTATTTCATTGGTTTTACTTTCATACACTGGACAGAGACCACAGGGGCTAACAGAAGTATAAGTAATTGAGGGGATGTAAGCTATACACGGAAATCTCTGGAACCATGTGTGGTTGGAAAAAGCCCTCCAGGTAATTCTGATAATCCTATCTACCCTTGAATGTCACTGATCTAAACCACAAAAAATACAGTATTACTTGGTTCTACCTGTTTTTGACCAGGGATGATTCCTCTTCTCCTTTTCCCGCCTTTCCCCATCCCCCCCTAACGAGATATTTGGCAAAGTCTGGGGACAGTTTTGGTTGTCACAACTTGGAGGGGGAGGCAGTGCCAGCTGGTATCTTATGGGTAGAGCAGAGAGGGGCTGCCAAACGTCCTTCCATGTACAGGAGAGCAACCCATCGTAGAGAGTGATCTGGCCGCAAATGTCAATAGTGCCACAGTTGAGAAATCTTGCAATAAACCTCTCTCCCATCTTCATTCATAGGTTTTGATATCACTTCCTTCTACAGTGACTGATTGGCCATTTAGATAACCCTGAATTGAAATGAAAAGCCTCAAAACTCTGAAAAAAGTGTTGCTTGCTATTGCTAATCTAGTGGTTTGATTTTAAATAAACATCCATGTGAGGGGGTGTCCGTTAATTTGGCCCTCCTTTGTAATGGACTATAAGATTGTGCAATATAGTCTGTGATTAACATAATCGTTGAAAATAAATATCCTTTTTACTTCAGCACGATTAAACATATGACATGAAGATGAAATACAAAAGCAAACACTGGCTTTAGCACTATTTTTTTGTTACTACGTAAGAATCTGGAAAATTCCAGAGCACACCACAGATTGGAGAGAATTTGAATAATAGCCAGTGGTCTAAACCCTTTTTTTCTCAGATGAGGATACTGAAGTCAAGTAACTTTCCCAAGGTCATTTCTTAAGATTTCCTAAAAGGGAAATAAATTATTTTCGTACATAAAGACCAGCTTAAAGATTTTTAACTTTTATTTTAATAGCTCAAAATATTGAACTAAAATCTAAATAAACTACATTGTTTCTAAAAAGAGACCTAAAAGAGCACCTTTTTAGGTCAAGTATGCATAATTGTCAGATTAAATAAGAGTTTTTTTAAATGAAAACAAATCAAATTAATTCTAAGGAGTGTTATAGCAAAGAAGCCTTGGGCTAAGAGCCTCCTATATTCATATTTGTTTACTCCATAGTTAAAAAAAAAAAATCTTACTATTTTGCTGTATTTCTTTTTTAGTTATACTATACATTTCTCAAATATTTTCATGCTAAATAGCACTTTTTTTCTTTTTTTTTAATACTTTTTAGCTCGAGGCTTGAGACAGCCAAGCAATAAATTACCACAAAAACTCATTATATGGAGAAAATTGGTATTGTCAGAAACTAAAATGTATGAAAATGGATCTGAACCCAGTGGTGTCAGTTTTAGATCGTGTCTATATTCTATAACTTTGCTATTATAAATTCTTCCAGAGAGGATGGATAAGGAACAAAACCGCAGCTAAGCGTGTAGACCATTGGCAATGGGAGATAAATTTTCTTTGACTGGGATATTACCTTTGAGTTACTCATTATTGTTACCTTGGGAGTCTCATATATGTCTCACCGTCTAAGCTGTTACAAGTAAACTTAAGAGGAATTTGCAATTACTTTCAATGTTTCAAGAAAGATAGCTCTTTAATAATGTAGAACCCCCCCAAATATTCTAATTTTAAGCTAAATTATAAAACAAATCAGAACTATAAACTTTTCTTATATACAGTGTTAGAAAAAAATCAGGTCATTTTCACAAATGAGAGTTTCTTGAAATCAATGGGCTTTGAACTGGCTTCATATTGCTAAAGAGTTTTGATTTTTTTCAAATCTCCTTTGTCTTGTTTTGAAATGTCAGAGATGAGGAAAATGAACCCACAAGGAAAATGTATTATAAATATAAATAAATCACAGCTAATATTATTATATTTTACTCAGAATATTAACATTAGAAATAAATTATCTTAAACCATATTCTCTCTTTAAATTATAATAAATGCATTTTATAATGATAAGTAACATTTTAAATGCCTTACATTCTTTGGTGAGACTTACAATGCTCCTAAAATATAGAAGACAAGACACAAAATAAATTTATCTGTTACTATTTTGCTGGTTTGGATGATTATAATATCCTTTTCTATTCATAGCATTAACAAATATCGAAAGTGTGTTTTCCCTTGTGTTCAAGTATTGCATACCCTTCACTGTCTTCTCAGTTTGATAAAGATAAACATTGGCAATGTCCAGAGGAAATACGGAATATAAAGCCGAAATCTGAATATTGCCTCTTCCTATTTTGGCCCATTGCTAAAGAAACAAGAAATACATTTGCATAAAATTCTGTCTATGTGGTAATTTTCCTCTTTAGCGGTGTACATTATATTTGAACACCTTTGAGTCTTTTTAATACAATTCTATTTTCATTTTCACAGATGGGGTACATATATCCACTGAGATTGAGGCCATACATGTGTGCATGTGTGTAAAAAGCCCCGTAAGCATCTTTGGGTGGAAAACACACAATTTGAATTTTCAAAATCTTCCCTTTTCCAGTGCTTCAAGTCCCTTCAGAACAAATTTAAAAGCCATGATTGCTTTCCTTTGATTTTATTATGAAATTGGAAGAAACAACTCCTTCCTTTACCACCTTGAACTTCCTAAATTTCTAGACCAAATGAAATACCCGAACCACTTCCTCTCCTAGTCTTAACCAAAATAGCAATGCCTGACACAGAGGGGATGATAAAGAAACGTGATAATCTGTGATCTCCCCCGGAACAAAATTTCATTTTATAATTTAGCTATACACATTCCTCATGGTGTTTCTTCTAACCTATTAGGCTAGTTTAGGAGATGCCATTTAGATCACCTATATCGGTGACCTCAGGAGGATTGGACAAACAAATACATTTCTGAATGGAAATAAAGAGAGAATATGGTCATAAGAAAACTGTGGGATTTAGTATCTTTCAATGAGTTTCTTTCTCCCTAATGCCCTGTCTCTCACTGAATGCTCTGATTCCCACATGGGTCACTAATATAGGGAGAAATGGTAAGACCGATGTCCAATTGCTTTTTCCTCATTTGCATGCCACACGCCATGGGCAGTGTAACCCGTGCAAATTAGAGCGGCTATGCTTCTGCAGTGCTCCCCTCTGCATTGCCCTGAAAGCATGTGAAGTCGAAGGTAGTCAGAGATCCAGCCCCACTGCCTGCAATGTGTCTCGTGATTAGATACCACACCATCACATGCATAAGGCTGAAGACCGCATCATACTCATGGAAACCTGAAAAATGGTCCCTTCCCTTTTGGTGTTTGCACATTCATTTCGGTATTCTTCATGAGGGTTTCTGCCAGGTGACTGTGATTTTAAAAAGAAAATGAAACACCTGTTGTTCTGGAAGAGAATTCGAGAATTCCCTTTTTTTTTTTTTTTTTTTTTTTTGGTTCTGTTGTCGTTCCTCTTGATAAACTCAGCTCTGGGGCTATAAATTTCAGCGGCACGGGGCTTTGGGGCGGGCCATTATTTGATGTGGTGCCTCTGCTCCCCAGGGAATGATGACACATCAAGTGAGCCATTGTGGTAGCTGGAACCGTGGGAATTGCTCTGTTCTGTGACTGATGCTAGATTTTGGTACAGTAGCAATCAAAGAGGGGAAAGGCCATGACCGTGGCTTGGGCAGGAGTCCCAAAATCCCGGGGAACAGTTGCTCAGTCCATGTGTTTTCCCCTTCACTCTGAGGGTGACCAACGTCACCTTCACAAAATAAAACGAGAACCCAACGTTTGTATATATGTGTCCACACAGAGCGCACATACACATATATACGCATGTATATTCAGAACTGAACCGTCTCAGTCTAGCCATTGGTTTTGAACAAAGTCTAAATTTACTTCATCTTTTTTTTCTAGTTTCTCTGCGCTACAAACATCGTTTTCTTCGCTCCATGCAGCCCTATGTTTGTAACAGTTCTATCTAGAGCTTTCTTTTCTTGTTGCTTAAGCTGGAGCCCTGAGTTGCTGAGAGATGTGACTTTGGTCGTCTCTACAATTCATACGTGCCAAATGAACTTCTCTTTTGTAGGATCTGACGGCATTAGCCAAAGAATTACGAGAACTTCGGATCGAAGAAACAAACCGCCCACTGAAGAAGGTGACTGATTACTCCTCCTCCAGTGAGGAGTCGGAAAGTAGCGATGAAGAGGAGGAAGATGGAGAGAGTGAGACCCATGACGGGACAGTGGCTGTCAGTGACATACCCAGACTCATGTAAGAGAGCTTCTTTTCACAAGTCTGTCGGGGCGGGTGAGGTCTGCAAACAGAGAGGACAAGAAATAGGAATTAAACAGAAGATCATTTATGGGTCTCTGGCAGGATCAACGGACTTGAGTTTTTATTAGAGCATAACCCTACAGTTACCTCTCTCCACGGACACCGTCCCTTGCAATGCACAGCAGGGCTCCTCCTGCCTGTGCTTTATCCAACTACTCTTTCGGGGTTGACTCTCCCTTTGGTGACACTTCCGTGGTTCTTGTCATCTCCGGGGAAAATGATATTGACATCCAGACTGTTGGCACATCCCTGTCCCCGTAGAACTGCAGGAGTGGAATTATGGGCAATGACACTTAGGAGTTAAATTTAACAACAGGAGACATATTTCATCCTCCCCACCCCGCTCCCCCCAACCCCCACCACCAAGGGAAGAACACGCAGGAGAGCATGGGTTAGCGTCCCAGCGAAAGATTCCGGAATCCAATCATCCTGCAGAGAACCTTCTGAGGGTCTGACTTAAATATATCCCTGTTATCATTTTCTTCTTCATTGTCTCTCTTATGTGATCCTTTTCTCTGTGGACTGTGACTTTCCCACACCACCCCCTGCCACGTTCTGCCCTTTCCTTTGCAGTCTTCGTTTGCCTATTCATACCTGAATTTATGCCTACCTACATTTCCCTTATTATTCACTTATGCTATAGCCTTTACTTCTTTTCCTTCCTTTGTTTAGTCTCAATTTGTCTTTTTCTTCTCCTCATTGGATAGGGTCCTATGAGAGAATTCCTCTGCCCTATTGCTTCTCCAGTTTAAACAAACAGATTCGGACAGTCACACTCACAGGCATTTCTTACTCCCTCCCCCAAACAAACACAAGGTGCTGTTGCTCTGATTTGGTATAAATTTGACAGAGTGTAACACGGATGGTTCCAATTTGCTCTTCACTCACTTCCATTTCTTTGGCTCTGCTACTGAGCCAAAGTCATCACACTACACTGACTCCCTATAGAGAAGATGCCATTTCGGGTCACAGATTACTGTCCTGTCCAGCAGAGATTGGAGGGAGTGGGCTGGCCTATCTGCAGGGAATGTCATCCATTGATTAACAGTCATTATGTACAAGCAATTCTGAGAGGCGAATCCAATTATCATAGCTGAAAATTTATACTTGTTGTTCTGCTGTTGATTACACAGTTATTGACAACCATAAATACGCTAAAATATGACATTTGAAACAAATTGCATTAAATTGCTTTTTTAACAGCAAATAAAATTGTTCTAGAGGCAAAATCACTAATCTAAAACATTTCTGCAAAATATGCTGGTCCTTTCAGTTTTTATCTTGACTCAGCAGTGGTTAATTTTTCTAACAGATGTTTTGAATTCCGTTTAAGCCCTGAGCCTACAACTACTAGGGTGAGGGCTGGATTATGACTTTAAATATTGATAAAACTTCCACTCTGTGTTCTACACCAGACTGAGGGCTTTGAGACAATCAGCAAGGGCACACACATACATTCTGCCTTGTCAAAGTGTATATCCTAGTTGAAGAGAAACAAGATTATATGCAGAAACTTCAAACTAATATAAATATTTGGAAGAATGACCACAACATCCTTGGGAGAGATGTTCAATCGCATTTGGTTTTGAAGCCCAGTCATATTTTGCAAGGTTGTTGCTTGTGTTGACCTTGCTATGGCTAAGGGCACATCCATTTCTTCCCACACTAAAGAAATACTCACCTGTCCAAAATTGGTTGGGACAGGCCATGCTGCACTTCCCCTCTGCTCTCTGGCACTCTCCTGCCCCTTTGGAAATCACCTGCTTACAGCCCAGGCTGCACAGAGAGAGCCTGTACCTTCTGCTGTGTGGGCCCTGGATCTTGAGTGTCCTCCTACAGTTTCACGTAGTGCTCAAATCAGGGTGTTTATTATATGTCGTCTCCCTGTCGGGATCTGAGATCCCCGAGGGGGAAGACTGTGTCTCACTCATCTCTCTACTCTTAACACCTTGCATGGTGTCTGGAATAGAGTTGGTCTTCAGTGACTTTGATTTATATTTAATTGCACTGAAATGAAATTGCAAGTCCTGGCTTCCTAGAGTTTATGGCACAATCCAGAAGAAAGACATGTTCACAAATAACCGTCATCAAGATAGAGGGAACGTGGGACAATATTAGAATCTCAGGCAAGGGGAAATTGAAGTAAAGGCCCAGAAGGTTGACTTTGGTAGGAATGTTGGGTGCGTGGCGGTGGGGAGGGGGTGGTCTGGACTAGTGAAACCAGACCAAGAAGTGTGAGCTTTATCATGTGGCCGTTGAGAGCCACGGAAGGCCCCCCTGGGCTGGGAAGTGACATGATCAGTGCTATGTTTGAGAGAAATCACTATGACAAGATAATCTATAAAAAGAAGAGGCTCGACACTGGTAAAGCAATTCAGAGGATCTCTTACTATCATCCAGAAATAATGAATGCTCTATCACTGAATGCATATAACGGAGGCAAAAGTTGACATGGCTCTGGAAGAATTGGTAAATTTTAGACAGATTAAAATGATCGTCCACTAAAGAGCATTTAAAATATTTAATGGTATAGGAGATCTACTCAGAGACAAGGCAGGTTGTATCCTGACAGGCTGTATCCTGCCTTGTCTCTGAGTAGATCTCCTATACCATAAAATACAAGTGTGTGGGTGCATATATATGTATTTATTCCAGTTTGGTAAATACATGCATTTTTGTGAATATAAAATGTATGCAGTCTGTTCTGCAATGGCATGATAGTTGTATACCTAAGAAATTGCACTGTAGTAAAAAAAAAATTCATTATAAAACAATTGTTTCTTTTAGAATAGGATATTTTAGAGTTGGAAGACTTCTTATATACATTCTAATCTTTTTTTTATTTTCTATTGTTAAGCCTTTACATACTATGCTATATATTTTTAGATATATATTTTATATATATTTATCCATTATATAGATAGATATTTGATATTATATATGTATCTTGATTTTATATATATATGTGAACTGTCTTGATATATATATATATATAAATAATTAGGATATATATATAAAATATCTTGATATATACATATATATATCAAGACAGTTCATTGCCATGAAGTGTATACAAAAAGAGCTTCTCAGAAATGGAGCCCAGCCATTTAGACAAACGGCTGTAGATCCTAAAGCTCAAAACAATATCTTTTTTATGGGCAGTGCTGGTTTCCTATTTATAGTATAAGGTAGAACCTATAAGAGTGTACATAACTAAGATTATTTCCCTAACTAACCAACTACACTATTTCCCAATGCCTCATGAATAGCCCAAAATTATGAAAATGATTGCCTCTGGATTATACAACTATGAGGGGTTTTTATTTTATGTAGATCCCCAGTTTTATGATGAGCATTTACAATTTTTATAATCAGGAAAAAAAAACAGAAGATTTCTAGAACTAAGCTGATTTGTGTCAGGTCAAGCAAGCCGAAGCAGCACCCTCTTGTGTCAACATCTTCCCTCGGGTGTCTGCGCCTGCGTCAGAACAGTACGTGCAAGGCCCAGTCTTAACCATTAGGACCATCTCCTGCCAGCATAGCCCTGGAGTTGCACACAGTCTTATCAAATGCTGTCTGGATGACGAGAGCCATTTATTGTGTGCCCTCTTCATTCCGTTATCGCAGGAAAGCCATGGTTCTGACCCCTTGCCCTCCCGGGCTGTTGTAGTGCTTCCCTTCCTCACTTGTGGTCCTCTCTGCCCTCCTGTCCATTTTTCCAGTTCTGATATTACTAGTGTTGTAGAAGCGTGGCTCCGATCCTGCTGGATTCTAGTGTCCTGCGACCCTCTTCATCACGGGGGGCTCATGATTGCCTCAACTTATACTCCAGCCAAACTGACCTGTCCGTTCTTACAAATACATGCCTTGTACTGGTCCAGCCTTGTGCCTTTCTTGCAATGAGCTCTCCCTCTGTTTTGCATTCCCATGTACCTCGTGCCTTGTATTTGAGTATTCATGTCATGTTTCTATGCTCTTCCGGATGCTAACATCTTTGGTTTCAAGAGCCATGTCTTACTCAGCTTTATTCTTTTTTTGTTTTGTTTTGTTTTGTTTTAAAGAGAGAGAGAGAATACATGGCAGGGAGGGGCATAGGGAAAGGGAAAGAGAGAATGAGAGAATCTTAAGCAGGTTCCATGTCCAGTGCAGAACCCAATGTGAGGCTCGATCTCACGACCCTGAGATCACGCCCTGAGCCAAAATCCAGTCAGACGCTTAACTGACTGAGCCACCCAGGCGCCCCTTCCTCAGCTTTTCTACCCACTACCCACTACCCAATCCCAAACCAAGGGCCGTTCACAGAGCAGGTGTTCAATAGATGTGTACTGAATTGAATTAAATCAGTACCTACGGGAACACTTTGACAAATCCCATTAGAGGAAATTACTGTTCTAAACCTGGGGCCTAATCACAGTAAATTTCCTAGTTTTCCTTCTAATCAGTGAAAGTGTTTTGTCTTGTTTTGTTATAGTCTTTATAGGAATTTGGACAACTAATTGTTCCCACCCTGACTCTATTTGGAAATAATTTTTAGAACAAAAGGATTACTTTAACTATAAAATGTTTTAGTTGTTTTGGCCTGAGTGTTTTTTTAAATCATTGCCCTTTTTTTTCATTTTTTTTATTGTTAATAAACTTTGTTTTTCTAGAACTGTTTTAAATTCACAAAAAAATTGAGCAAATAGTAAAAAGTTCCCATTACCCCTCCTACTCCCTGCACACTGTTATCCCTATTATAAGTGCAGTATGTTAATATGTACTTAATAAACCAAAATTGATATATTTTAATAGTCTGTTCAGATTGCCTTAGTTTTTACCTCAAATCTATTTTTCTGTATCAGGATACCATGTTACATTTAGTTATTTAGTTACCGTATCTATTTAGACTCCTGTTGGCTGCGACAGGTTCTCAGACTTCCTTTGTTTTTAAGGAACTT